GTAAATTGTCTGTATAATTAAACACGGCTCAATTTATTGTCTACTGTGGTTTATAACATCGTTACGTAAAACAATTGTACAAATAAGGATTTAATTAACTGCAGGACAAAATTAGTTATACAAAAGTTTTAATCTGTTGAGGTAATTGTACCCTTCGGTGCTATTAATTAGTTGCCTGTGTAACTGTCATTATTATTGTTTAATAAATTCCATAAACGGGTCTTTAGTAATTAAAGATTGAGTCCTTTTGTCGCAATAAAATTATGTTTGTAGAACATAAACCAACATTATAAATTACTTTAATTGTTAAACCAACATTGATAAGTAAATGCGCTAAGTAAGTCGTGAGAAAAATTATTAGTAGATAATCAATATTTAATTGCAAATTTTAAAAAGATTACAGATTTATTGGGAATGAAAAAATAATTGTCAACAATTTGCGATTGCTGTAAAAAATTTGCAGAATTGTATTTAAATGTAATTTCTCGTTGAAAATTGTATTATTCTCTGGTGTTACGCGGAAGAGATAGGAAAGATGCGGTAACGTCCCGAGAATAAACTTGTCTCGATTCTTGGTAACTTCGTGACGATTTCATTAAGTATTCGTGGGAGAATCTGAGGTTACCTCTTCCCATTATTAAGTGGAGCACACCTTGAAGTTACTGAAGGATATAGTCGAAGCTCTCCACTTACAAAATCTTTTTTTTTTATGCAAGATTACATAGGATAGTATTGTCATTTGATTTAAATTACAAATTTTAGCACAAGCGAAATAAAAACTTAAGGCTCTCGTGTTTATGATTATTACTTAAATCTCGTCTCACGACTGTATTATGTAAATTATTCAGAATGGAGTTTTATATCACGAAATGCAAATAGTTTAAAAATCTCATTTTTAAACGTAAAATAAAAATCATGCGAGTCTACGCTGAGTTGAGGAATGAAATAATTAATTGTAAAACCTGAAAACGTGAAACTTTAAATCAGATTGTCATACTTATAAATGTTATTATAAATTCTAAATTATTACTTTTTTATAATACATTTCTATATTCTAAAATTCTAAATAACAACAACAGATAATTATCTTGTATATTGATCAAAATATAAAAACGCGCGTCAATCAATCTTGTTAAAACTCAAAGAGCGCATCAGTGATATATATCAGCAATAAGTCAGTCATACATGAAAAATAAAAATTTTATTTCTTTTAACTAATGTACGCAATACACGCTTTGTATAATGTTTCAGATAAAACAGAACAATGTGAAAAATAGTGACACATTAGAGATATAATGTAATCTAATCGTAAGGAATCCCAAATTATAATTTTACGGCTCTTGTTCTCATAATAATATTCACGTTGCCACGAAAAACCGTGAAGTGAACAACGAGCCCACGAAGAATTTTAATAATGAAAAGGAGAAATTTTCTTCGTCCTTATTACTTTTACAAATGATGCAGATTTCGGTTTATTTGAGAATATATAAAAATGATGCAATGCGAACTCTATGCGGCGATGTTAAAAAGCTTGAACCTCGAGACTTCTGCAGGGAGTATTTCCCTTATTGTGTAGATCTTTCTCGTTATCACACAAGGCACGCACTCAAAGTAGAATATTCTATTTTGTAGGATGTAACGTGGCCGCAGCGCACCATCCCTTTCTGCAAATATTTTCTCCAAGCTCGTGAACTCGTGTACGCCTGATTAAATAAAGAAAATGGATACGGCGTATTATCGGGAAACTAAGTCCGGCATAATAGAATTTTCCCTTTGTCCTGATGAAGATAAAGGCCAGTTCTCTACTTAATATACAATTTACTTAATTAATTTCTCCCAACTTTAACGCTATTACATATTTGTCTGATGATTATTACTTTTATGTCAAACTAATTATCTAAAATAAATTTCTCTATCTGGGATTCTAACAATAAGTGTAAGACTAATCGCATTTTCGTACGTAAGCTTTAATTAGGATTTAATGAATCAAACATGGAATGGGCTGCATTTTTTTATTATCTATTATTATTATCACGTCAATTTAAAAATTCGTTTCAATAGGCAACCACCGTTAAACTTTTTCTGCTGTAAGATCTTATTTGCATTATTAAATGAGTGGAAAGCCAGCCATAAGCAAGAATCTTTAAGAAATTTTAAACTTCTGGATAACTCTAAGCCAGAAGAGTAATCAAGCCGCGGATTAAAGGGTCACATGATGAAAAAGAATTTAATTAAGCTATCCCATCACGGATCAGTATCCCTTGCGTAACTTGGTATAGTTACCGTTTCTTTTTTGCATCATTGCGGTCAGAAAAAAGTCTTTAACAAATAAAAATTTACTGCAGCGATAAGTAATACAACACGATTCGATTCGAGAAAATATCTTAATACCATTCGAAACGTTTGCCATTTTTAGAAAAGTTAATTTTAAAGATGTCAGACTTACATTATATAATGTTTTATTGGGAGAAAATTGTTCTGCAAAACTTTGAAAAATAGGAATTTATATTTCAGTATTGATATATTAACAAATTTAAACATCAAATTTAAGCATTATGGTTTTTTATGAACTATTATTATGTAAAGATATTCTGATTATGTAATATTGCAAAAATATTAAATTAAACAATTAAAAGCTTGCATATTGATTCTTATTAAAATTTGAAAATTGACATTTGCAGATTTTTTTACACAAGAAACTTTTAATATAAGCATTATTTACATTTCACGTTTTCTGCATATAATCAATGTTAGAAATAAAATGAAAGAAATTACGTTTATGTATTATTTCTATCCAGCTTTTAACTTTTAAATGAAAATGTTGCTTAAATGATTGATAAGTACACCGTCCGTCTTGTTCACACACCATATTGCAAAACGAGTAGTTCGTTTAAATAATCGCTAAAGTTATGGCAGGGTTGTTAATTTTTACAACAAGAGAAAAGTCGGCTCTCTGGAAAAAGTTGCAAAAATAAGTATCGCGTCAATTCGCGTCCGAGTGCATGTAAAAAGTTGGCGTTTGTTCTTGTTAGTTAACGCAAATGGAACGGAATCGAACGGGGTGTAAGACAAGCGAAGTAGGACGTCAAAGGCCTGGGGTAGACTCGTCCATAATTAGCTCCCGCTAGTCTATTCGAGTCTGCTTTAACGCGACGCTACTGAGATTTAATCGTATGTGTCGTAAGTTGCATTGAATCCAAGTGGTTATACGAGAATTCATTTTTAAAAACATCTCAAACAATTACGGATAATATAACCAGAGAACACTTCTTTTTTTCTATAGATTTCTGTGAATACGTTATCTAAATATTCTTTGTAAATAATAATTTAATTTATTTACCAATATTATTAATTTATACCTTAATATTAATTACATGGATAGACGCACTCAAGATTTCTCTTAACTATAAATTGTTATGTTAATATATTATTAGATAATAAATTAAGTAGATAAATGCTAAAGTATTAGGTATATATTATCGGTAAATAGATAACTCTTGGTACATTAGGACAATCAAAAACTTGTTAATCGGTTTAGTTAATCTGATTTGTGTATAAAATGCTAAATCCTTCTTACGTTAACGCATATAGAAGATTTATTGTTGCTCAAATCAGTTTATTCGAACCTATTTTTACATTTTCAGTATGCAGTTGTGGGGTAATGCAAAAATTCGACCATAATCTTTTATACATATTATTAAGCTTGGATTTTTCGTAGAAATTTCAAGAATACGCTTAAATTTTGAAGAATATATCGTTACAAGTAACGTTTTAAGAGAGTAACATTTGCCTCCGCGGTAATTTATTTTACTGTGCGAGATGTCAAGATATACTGCACACTTAAATGCTACTCTGTAGTTACGATGGCAGTTTGTTTTTATAGCGACCGTTTATTATCAACATATTTTCTAAACGTGTACAGCAAAATTCCGTCACGGTGATTGATCATCGATACCACGATATTTAATAAACCTAGATTGACATGCCAATGTCTGTATAAGTAATTTGATACATTAACGAAATTTTAAAGCAGATATAAATTTGGCTCTATTAAAAAGGTTTATTTAAATTTAATACAGTTTACAAAATGATTTATTTATAACTAAAATTATATTATTATTGGTATTTTTACAGTTCTTTGCTCACTATCTTATTTAATAATTTTCAATTCACACTATTTTGCTCTTAATATAATTCTATAGAACTTTAATTAAATTAGAATGAATTTAAAAATTATAATTATATCATTTTTTAATAATAGTAATTTTAAAATAGAAATGAGTGAGCAAAAATGAGTTAATACAAATTATAAAAGAATAGGTTGTTATTGCTTGCCGTCGTGACAGAGAGCAACATTCGGGACAACTAAATTATTCCTAAATTATTACAGGGAAGAAATAAACTGACGGGTTTACTTCGGGGACATCAGTGCGTTGGTATTAGATTCTGCTCACGTGTTCCCCAATATTGTTTAGTCTCCTGAGTAAAGAAAGATAGACGTCCTACCGAAGTTTACGTTCTCAATCACGAAAATTGTACAACATAATAAAATTAAAAAAACGATTATTACAATTGTGATAGAACAAAATTACGTTAATAGTGAAAGAGATACTTCTGTATTTAGAAAATAAGTAATAAAAGTAATAGAAAATAAAAAAAAATAAAAAAAAACAGAAAAGGATATAAAATAGTTTGCTTGGAAAATAATAAACGTAAACTAGTTCTTGTCAATATTAATTTGAAACTATTTCTGTTTTACGTAGTTTAATTTAAATAAATCTTAGCAAAATACTTATATTTATAATTTCAATTTTTATTAAATGTATGACTAAATATATGCAATTTCACAATTCTCTAAACGAAGCAAAAAAATTTAAGCGTTTTGTTTCAGAATTTAGAAATCAATTAATCTTTAATTTTTACCATATCAAATTTGCCGATTATAAGTATCGGCTCGCTGCATTCGAATGTCAAAAACTTAACGTGATTGTTCGTTACAGCGCCGACGAGGGCTTCGACGGCACTTATCCGACGAACGTCGTCGTAAAGAACAATGGGACCTGCTTGTACGTGCCGCCCGGTATATTCAAGAGCACTTGCAAGATAGACATTACCTGGTTTCCCTTTGACGACCAGCGCTGCGAGATGAAATTCGGTTCCTGGACGTACGACGGCTTTCAGGTGAGCATAGGGGATAGGCATTACGGAATTGGGTCAACCAATCGTCGTCGTTTCCCCGATCCATCCTGTCCCGATGTTCGCTTCTTCGGGACAGACATCGAATTTACGAATTTTCCAATCTGTCGGAAGCACGTCGGTACTTCTCGACGGTATGGTTTCGAGACCCGGAAATAATTCAAAGCAGCGGCATCGAGTAGTTTGATTAGTGCCCGAGAACGTGAGAAAAAGACAGACAAACAGACAGCCAGAGAGAGTGAGAAAGGGGGAGGGAAAAAGAGGGACAGAGAAGGAAGATTTTCACCGTTTGTCAATGTAAGATTCGCTTGTGAGAACGATTCGTGAAATTCCTAAGAACGGTGCTTTGAGTAAAGTACTCCGATCGCGTTTAATGGAGGAGCATTTTCTACCATCTCCAATGCAAATCGGAATTGCGCTCGTTTATCTGTGAACGGTATTGAATAATTATTTATTTAAATAAAACGACAAAAGTTTGTGCGAAGTAATTCCATAAATGTATGGATTACTTATAAAACACTAATCTTTTTATTGTAAAATATAATTAAATGCCACATATTTATGCCAGTTTTGTTTTAGCTTTGAATACCTTGATATTTATCTCTTTTGCAAAATTCCATTAAAAGAAAACAGTCTACATAAAATTAAATAAAATCGTCTTCATTTTCGTTTGTTGTTTACTTTTAGATTTTTAACTGCTAATCGGTCACAGTTTGAAAAACTATTTAAATATCAAGTTTGAATATCAAGATCTTTTTGCGTTTGGACAACATTTTTGTTGAAAACTAATTTTAATCCTTAAATAACAAATCTGTTATCAAACGACTTGTATAAGAAATACATTTAATAAACTTTTTTAAAATTACAAAATATAATTATAATTAAATATAGATAATAATAATAAATTGAAGACATAATGCATTCACAAAAATTTCTATTTTTTATTATTTTATATCTTATCAATTTTATCGCAAGTTTTTACAAGAATTCGCGTAAGATATTTTCTGTAAATTGTTCGAGAGATACGCGATTATACCTACTAAATTCAGTATACGCTCCAGAGATACCGCAACAAGCGTAAAATGCACCCGATGTTTGGTCGAAACACCAGCGGCATGGATGGCAAATGCCATTTCAGGGTGAATCGCAGGAAATTTACAAATCATGGAAAATGCGTTTAAAGAACAATGGTGAGAATGCGCGATTCAGGATTCTTGTCAACACACGATTTTTCTGTCGCTATTTTACCCATACCATACCGTTCAATCCATGAAAAAAGAAATCTTTTCTAGCGTGTTTGTATTTTAAATGTATCACAAAAGCAGAATAATATAATATAATGCACTATAACTTAATGATAAAAAATAATTATCAAAAAATACAAATTTATATAAAATTATTTTATAAAAAATGTAATAGAGATGACAGAAAACTATATCGCTATGTGCTGATTTCTTTTGATATTTCTCATAAAATAATATTAACTTGAAATTAGCGGTAGAATGTGCAATTCAAAAATTATATTTTGTAATACGATAGCTATGTAACTGTACATTGTACAGCATGATAATGTTGCCCAATTACAGTAAGATAATTTTACTATAACAAAAGTTTCATTGTCTCGTGCAATTTGTGCATACCGATTTATCGTGCGTCTCTGCCACACGGTCCACACGACTAATGTACCTAGCGAGCCCTCAATTGTCGAGCGTGCAACTTCGGAATAATTAAAATTGAGGATGCGAATTACACGGTGCCAGGCAATTCGAGAACGCTCTCAAGGGTTCATTAAGGAGGACAATAAGCAGAACGAAATGGAAACGGAACGGAGGCAAAGGGAAGGAAGATAGCGGAATATGCCGACGATTTTCCACGAGCTCGGTTTGATCCGCTGAATACGAACGAGATGCAAAACAGACTTTTCGATTTGATCGTCCATTTTCATTTAACAATTCGCTCCCAGATATTAATTCGTCATAGATTGCGCCCGAACGTCAACGCGAAAAAAGTTCGCATCGATATTCAAACGCGTAGAAATTGCGGCAGGTGTTTGCGAAAACTTTATATAGTACGTAAATATACATGAACATGAACTCACACATAAACTATATCAACAAGACTATATGAAGTCAATAAATCAACAGAGCATTTTGATAAAAAATAATATTATTCGCATATGATGTATTGTTATTATTGTATTACTAATTTTAAAAATATTTACGCTATTTGTTACGTCAATCATTTTATACAAAAATAAGCAATACTATTTTTAGAAATTTTTAGAAAATATGCTACAATATTTAATAATATAAAATTTGAGGAGATACAGTAAATTACAGTTAATATCAGTTGAAATGTCAGAAGTGTTCCGAGCGATCTATAACACAGAGAAAGTTTTTGAGCTTTAATATATGGCACGGTATTCTTTTTAAAGAATAAAAACTGATAAGTTCTGTGTCTGTGCCGTACTGAAGCCGTAGAACAGACCTTTCCGTAGCTCCTGAAACAGCCGTCTTACACGCGGCGCGGTTGCAATAACTTTCCTTTAATCGACCGTCATAAATTGTCGACAGTTGGATCTGCAGCTGCAGGACGAGTCCGGAGGTGACATCAGCAGTTTCATCACTAACGGCGAGTGGGATCTGTTGGGTGAGTTTTTACAGTCCTTATCGGGAACCGTTCACATTCGCCACGCCCGGATAGTTTGCCCCGGCGCCAAAAGTGATTCCCGGCCGATTAGCAATTCTAAAGTCTTGCACGGCCACGGGCGGATGATCAATCGTTTCGCAAATCGGAACCGGTATTGATCCTCACTTTGTCCCTGTCAAAATTGCCTGCATCTGGGTCAGGCGGGACGTGACGGCTTGCTCTCCGCGCGCATCCGAAGTTTAGTGTTTTCTCTGGCGAACACATCGGTAAAGTGTCGCGAGAGAAATTGCTGCTCGCTTGATTCGGAAAGTGAATAATAGTTCGTAATAGTCGCCGAATATAATCGCTTGAGAATTTGTCGAAGGGCAGATTTAAGCTACGACCTGTCACTTCCAGATGTTTATGCTGTAAACTCGGCAACTTGTTTTACTCCTAGATGTACAAAATAATTGACGGATCCCTAGCCACGCGAGAGAGCTTTCGTTTAGATTTGCAAGATCGTATTTACAATTCAAATATACAGGCAGAATTAAAAAAAAATAAGAATTTTCTGTATGTTTTATTCCGATATTTTATATAAAGTTAGCTTCCGTACATTGAAACCCATCTATACTAGAAACAATAGTCCGGAAGGCGGAATCACTCGATTTACATTTTAAAAATCAATTTTAAATTCAGAATACTTTTTCAATAGATATATAATATTTATTAAATTTAAATTGCAATAATATATATTTTATTAAGATAAATAAACTAAAATAATGAAATTTTCCAATAATAAGGTCTTTCAATTAGCAGTACTATAAAAGAAAAGAATTGTAATTGTATCCTATTGTTCGATCGCACATAATGCAATGGTTTGAAAAATGAACTTGTGTATGGAATTCACGTAACAGCCGTATTGGGATTGTAGTGCAAAGATAGAAACATCTGGTTTGTATTTTTCCCTCGTAATTGCGAAGAGGAACGTTACAATTATGATATATTGTCCAATTACGTGTAATTTGCCGTTGATAAATTTGTTATGGATAAAGACGTAAGAAATGGTCGTGCCGTCTTCATTGTTCCTCCGACGCAGGAATAAAAGCATTCGCTTCGCGTATCTCATGTATCTCGAAAAATTGTACGATGCATTACGCGTGGGAATAGCGTAGGTCGGCGTACACGTGCAATGTATATGTGCCGCGGTTATGAGACTTGTGGTAGAAATGTATCTTAAGTAACTGCAGCTGCAGCGCAAAGCGTACCAGTTTGTACCCGGAGGAATAGCGTAAGATAGAATCTTCCGCGTTTTTCTTTTGCCCTGTTGCACGGGATAATTCAAGGAGAAGAGAAGAGGAATTTTTCGCTTCCAGCAACTTTTTGTTACGTTTGAAATAGCACTTCGTTTTATTGGCAGCGCATCGATCGCCTGTGCACATCGTCATCAGTTAAGCGTTAGATTGAACATTTACCTGAGAATTTTAATTTAGTAAGAAAATTCAAGTTTTTCGTTTGTTGGAACTATGAACAATATTAATATGAATCCATTAATTTCTCAATTCTAAAGCGCAAAAATGTTTTAATGTTAAACTACATATAGGTCTTTATAATTTGTATAAATTTTGATATTTAGAAAATCGATGGAAATCGTGCACTGCGCCCATGTCTCTGATTTCCTGCTTGTGCTCTAGAATTAAACGTTTTATGTATTAATGTAATAATGATGCAATCTGTATTGATATTATTAATTCCTTCTTTTGTCTTGCTTAGGGGTACCCGGTAAGAGGAACGAAATCTACTACAACTGCTGCCCGGAACCGTACATAGACATCACTTTCGTCGTCATCATCAGAAGACGCACACTCTACTACTTCTTCAACCTGATCGTGCCGTGCGTCCTGATTGCCAGCATGGCCGTCCTCGGGTTCACCCTGCCGCCCGATTCCGGCGAGAAACTCTCCCTCGGCAAGTTTCAACACGATGCAAAACTCCGATTGCCCCCGACAGCCCGTAAACGGTCTAGCGATTAGGCACGTCCCTGTTTGCTAAGAGCATCAGACGTTTGCGCGATTAGGTCCGACCTAGTTCCGGGCTCTCCCGCATCCGGGCACCGTGAAGAAACTATTCTCTACCGCTGTGTCGTGTCGCGAGTTTCTTTTACGAGGAACGCAGAACTTTATCGACATTTCGATGTGGGAAATTAGTATCGATAAAATTCCGTTAAACTATACGAAAACTTGGTTCGTGGGGTTCAATCTTTCAACGTGAGATTTCACATTATCACTGCGCTGCGTAGAGAACAATCGAGTGTCACGAGATGCATGCCGCGCAGGAACTGCAAATAAATGACACATTCAAAGAAATATTTTAAGGAAAAAATTGCTTATAATATAAGTTTAAAATTTAAAAAGGAAATAATTTTGTTATTTTTATTTTATTGTAAAAAATTAAGAATGGATTTATATAATATTACTTTTAACACATTTTATTTTTGGCAACTGGATTCTTTTTTTAGATATTGATCGTGAATGTAACCTGCAGTTAAAGTTATAGAATGCAAAATCATCGTAATTCAAAAAAAGCAGTAAATGACCGATTAATAATTAACATTGTAGTTTATCTGAGAATTTTTCTATATTGCAAAAAAATGTCCGATTTCAATCGCATACAACATATTGGAGCGCTTTCAGACTTTCTCTCGCGTAATTGCAACATTATAATTGATAGATAGAGAAAGATTGCATTGATGCATGCTATTCATGACATGTTATTTCATTGTTTCCTCGTAAGCGTGGTTGTTCTGGAATTTACCAAGAAGCCGGATGCCCGGGAGAGATTCTACCTCCTGCCGGCTCGAATCGCTCGGCTGCATAATTCCGATTCCTTGCCTGCCTCGCCTCGCGCTGCCATCTGAACGCTCCCGTGATTAGAGCCGGGGTGCCGGGAGTTCCCTAAGCGTATCGAGCGTTTACGCGATTAGATTTTGCCCCGATCCCGATTGAAACGGCGTGGCGCGCGGCGTCCCGGTGCGCAAACTTCGGCAAGTCTTCTATTCAGGTCGTAGAGTTTCTTCGAGCGTACAAGCACGTTGCTGGAATCTCCATCGAATTCGGAAGCGATCACGACAATCGCCGTCACCCGACGGTGGAGATACGGCGACAATGGAATGACAATGTCGAACAATTGCAGCCGTCTCCGTTGCGAATTTCCTTAAATCTTATAGCTATTCGTAGATTGAGATACGATAACAATGGCCCTACACAGAGACATTATTTTACAGTTATCTCCTTAGCATTAAGAGCCATTTATAGACAAAAAGGATAAATAAAAACATGTATTAGACAATTTTTATATTTACAATAGTCTTTCTATTTAAAATAGATTGATTTATATCATAAAAAAGGTTGAACAAATAGAGCATTGTGTAATACCGATTGTTTAATTATTCTCTCTATTCTCTTTATTTTTTTGTAAAATTTAATTCCTTAAACTTTAATTACATTTATTATCTCGAATTGTCTATAAATTGTTTTAACAATGTTGAAGTGATACAAGTTTTCCAATACGATAAAGCAATTAAAAACGTCCTATTTCAAGAGAAAACGAAACGAGCAAGAAAGAAAACAATGCGACTCAATCGCAATTGACTTTCGCGTTTCTAAGGGACTCAAACTCAAGGGCAACTCTTAACGTGTTATCATGAACCTCGAAGAAGCGTCGAGTAAAGTCTAATATTCAGATGAGGCATCTGCCGCAGATGCCGTGGCGTTTTGAAAGTCTAAATAATTTGAAAGTGCCTCTTAACGCGACGCGGCGGTTCGCGAATGAGTACCGAATTCAAAGCACAAGCAGGGTCGGATACTTAAAGTACTTGGTGCGAACTGTCTTTGAAGTTTCTTATTCAAGATCTAATCGAAACTAGGAATCGGTAAAATTTGCATCACTTGTTCTTAAGAAGATATTTCTCTTTACAAACATATTTTTTTAAATATTGTTTTTGCAAAGAAAATAAACAGAAATGTAAAGAATACTTTTATGTCGCTGAATTTTCGATGCGGCGACATCGGAAACACGTCGCCTTAAGGTACAGAGGCTGAGAATCGAAGAGCTTTCAGCGTGGGTTGTTACGTGTTGAAGGCCCTTCGAGCGTTCAAGGACCGAGGGTAGATCTCGCCCGCCACCTCGTCGACGCACTTGACTTTAACAATAATTAATCGAAGCCAACAAACCTTTTTTACAGGGGTAACCATTCTCCTGTCCCTTACTGTGTTCCTGAATATGGTTGCCGAGACAATGCCGGCGACGTCCGACGCCGTGCCGCTTTTAGGTAAGTCTGTTTTAACTGATTTTCAATATAATTAATTTTTCAATGTGAGAAAGCAGCTTGATTGATCACCTCTATTACGAACCGTTTGAGTGGAAAAAGAAAGAGAAGAAAGGGACAAAAATTTGTTCCCATTTTTCTAACAATAAGACAATAATGTTTCCTCGATTGTGTATTATACCTGCGACAAGCAGACGCAACTAATACCCTTTGATTTAAAGTAAAAACAATTTTACCAAAATATTATATGTCTCTAATATTGCTTATTTTAATATAAATTGATGTCATTTATAATTATAAAATTATAAACTCAATACAAATATAATTTTATTTTTAGAAAAATATAACTTATTTAATTACACATATATTTAAAAAAAGTGAATTTTTAGAGCTATTTTGTTAATTACATTTAATATATAACTGTATTGAAAAATGAAATTTGTGTTTCTATTATAAAAGTTGAGATGCTAAAAGAAAAGAAAAGAATTAAGTTGAACAATATTAATACACATATAGCAAATGCACGTAGTAAGGTTTAAACTTTTAACATTAAACACTTACTTTTAAATTGTATTTTTATACTTATTTATTCCCATGCTTTTCAGGGACATATTTCAATTGCATCATGTTTATGGTGGCCAGTAGCGTGGTCAGCACGATCCTCATCTTGAACTATCATCATCGGAATGCTGACTCCCATGAAATGGGTCGATGGGTAATTTCCTACGATCGATATCAAAACACATGACATAACACTACAATTGTTACAATTTAATCATCTCGGTGTCAGTATATACTGCTAGTATTGCGTTAGTTAATTACGTGAATACAGTGAAGCATTATATAAATATAACTAATAACAAATTTTAATCTACAATTTCTTGTTATATTTATAAAATGTGTATTTTGTTTTAAATTTTCATCAAAATTTGAGCGAAATTTATCGAGATACATGAGTTTTCAGCAGCAAAGTTAATGACAAATTCGTGATAAAATAATAAAATAAAAGCAGTGACTGATTTTGTCGTCGTAAAGTTAACCGAACAAAACAGAACACATTAATATTTGACAATATAAAATCGGTACAAATCAATAAATTATATCACATTTTTCTAGAAAATACTTACTTATTTGGTTAATTTTATCTATTTATTTATGTATTTTTTTAATTATTTCTAGAATTAATTGATTTTTTATTAATAATTTTTGAGTCTATATCTTAGAAATGCAACTAAACTAATTTGTTAACGGCTTTTTTAATCGCGTAAGAGGTCGAAAATTACTTTGTTGAAGCTCGATTCAATTCATTGTCGGTGCTATATGACTTCCGTACGTATCGGTAGATAATTATGGTTTTAATTAAAATGCAACGCGCTGCCGCGCCGTCGAGACCGATACATCGCTCTCTCTTCATCATGGATAAATCAGGAATTTTATGGGCGAATAATTAAGGGCTACTCTGCCGAATGCGCGCCGCGATAATAAATCATGTATAATCGAATTTTTCGCCGGACGTCACGTTAATTAGAATGTAAATTTCAGAGATTGATTTCCCGCACGATCAGATTTCCGAAAACAAAACATACGCACCTAAGTTAAGTTAAATTAACAAACGTGAATTATTCTAAGCCACAAAATGTCATGAAGCTTAAACAGGACAACGAAAAAGATAATAAGCAAGTAGCTTTTTTAATTCTTAATCAGGATCGTCAATTTAATGCGAATAACATCATGATTATCATTAATAGTTATATTTTATGTTGATTTATATTTTAACTTGATCTGAACAAACAGAATAAATATACATATTTAAGAAAGAAAGGCTATTATATAAAGAATAATGGACAAAGTTGCAATCTTTCCGAGCTCCGCAATCAGATTTGATTACATTATTATATGTATATACACATAATCAGTAGATAAGTACGTATTAGATTATACTATTAAATTTTTCTGAATTGCATTACAGGTCAGGGTACTTTTCCTATTTTGGCTACCTCGTATACTCGGTATGTCTAGGCCGGGACAGGAGGAAGACAAGGAACCACTAGTTCAAAAGTCTCAGAAGCCATCTCCAGTCACGGGTAAGATAATTTTAAGTAGAAGATACATTTCAAATGCATATTGATCATAAATCAGACAGTTGAATCGCCGATCGTAGCATCGTTTGTACGAGTAATTTAAACGCGAGAGGTTTCTCGTCAATATGACGTATTTATCTGCTGTGTTAATATAATTATGTATAATTTTTCAGTGGCTTCTTTGATCTAAATTGATAATTTTTTGGATGCCAGGTGCGAGCAAGTCGTACGGTGATCTGGAGCTGCACCAGAGGAGCAGTAAGTCCCTCTTGGCGAACGTCCTGGACCTGGATGACAACGCGCTGGCGTCTCACAACAATTTGCTGAACAATGTGTACAGCACACCCGGACCTCATCACGCGCACGCGACGCCGATGACGCCGATGGGTCACGGCCACAGTCACGTACACACGACGCCCCATCATCATCATAGCCACGCGCCCACGACGCCGCACCATCAACACGCGACGCCCCTACCGCACTCGTCGTATCCCGGCCATCAAATCTCGCATACGCCGCATCATCACCCACATCCGCAGGATCCTGCGGGAGCGCCGCAGGTCGAGACGATACTTCAGAACGCGTGCTTCTGCGCTCGTTACGAGCTTGTGCTAATTTTGAAGGAGATTAAGGTAACGATCCGATTCGACAATTGGAAGAGTATAATCTGAGAAATCCTCGGATTTCTTCGGTGTTTTTAGATTTGTTCGATATTCAACTGAACCTCAAGATCTCCTAAGATTCTGAAAGTTTCAAAATCATAAGGTTGCGAGGTCCTTTGAACTCGGGGCTTCAAACTTCTAAAGGGGGGGGAGGTTCTAAGATCTCAAAGTTTCAAGATACCTAAAACCCAATGATTCGTAAGTCTTAAGATTGGAAAGCCTCAATCTCTTTAAACCCTAAGATTGCAATGTTTCGAGAACCTAAGTATCAAAGTTCGTAGATTCAAATCGAAAATCTCACATCTAAAACACATCAAAACGACGAAGAAATGAAGGAGATGTCAGTCAAAATTCTTTTTTTTTTTTGAGAAACAACCAATACGTTTTCGATGAAATAAACAATCTTGTTTTAGATAATAACAAATCAACTGAAGAACGAGGATGAGAACACGAAGATCACGAACGATTGGAAGTTCGCGGCGATGGTGATCGATAGGATGTGCCTAATCATTTTTACTCTGTTCACTATCATCGCTACCATCACCGTCCTGCTGTCAGCACCGCATATTATCGTCACGTGATTCAGAAAAGCCAGTCTGCCGCCGGTGGTTCCGGGGCCGACGAGGATTGCGTGCCGAGCGCCGGCGTCGACGGGCGCCGGCGCCGCTCGCGACGCTCCAACCGAACGTCCGCCCTTAACCGGTTCCCAGCGGATCGGGCTTAAGGGCGTTCATCTTCGGGTTCGCACGCCGCTTCGTTTCGGAGACCTGCGCGTTAGGAAGAAAGCAATACGGGGAGTAACTTTGTTTCTTTATGATATACATAATAATACCATCAGTAAAAATGAGAATAATAACGCTATCGATAATGAGAATAACGATAATAGTACTAATAATTATTACGTAATAGTTACGGTAAAACTTTATCGTATAATTATCCCACAAGGACGCCTTAGCGAAACACGTTGACACACCGTTTATAAACGGCGCGAGCACACGAGTGAATATAGGAAGGACATGTTACACAGGGAGTACAGGGACACGCGGGAATAGAGCCATACGCGAGGAACACGTACACTGGTTTGTTACACGCATCCCTGAGAGCAGTCGATGTGACGAACACTTTGTACAGTTGAGATGATATACGTTTTATCGAACGAGTCAAATAATTAGTTCTATAAAAAGATCCAATTACGAATTTTCATAGAGATATAAGTAACGATCGAATCGAAGAAGAAGAAAGATTCGACTCTGTCCTCCGCGACTACTACTTGGGGATGTATCACATATATACACGTATACACACACGCACGTAACATCATGCGAGAGCGATAATACGCATGGAACCGTGATTTGCCAATGAGTTAAAAATACTTTTTCTGCGGCCCAAGGTTAGTACGATATAGAAGTCTTCGAATGTACTCGAGGATCAGTATTGCTAGGTTTAAGAGACTCTTACGGCAGTCCAGACAAGTTTCGTAACGTTTCTACGAATCCGCATAAAGACTCCCCAAATTCGAGAATCTCCAAAAGCCCATAAATTTTGAAAAGTGTAAATTTCCAAGAATATAAAATTAAAATCTAAATGAATATATATAGTAGGGTGCTCATAAAAAAAACAACACTGATATAAAATCAAAGTTTTCAAGTGTAACTGAGATTTTTGAGAATACGTAAACTGTAATATTCGAAGAAAATTCGGAAATTACTACATGTCAGTTGATATTGGTCCTTGTCCATGATTAGATGAAAAAATAAGCGCTCGAGAATGCTGCTAACGGATCCTTTTTGTCCGTACAAATGAAATAAAGGGGGGAAATAAAAAGAAAAACGACAAAGAGAAATAAAAAGCGAAGCGGGACAAGGGTTGATGGGCTTTAAAGGTAAAACGCACAGGTTACACTCTCAGAATATACACGATGAACTGCCAAGGTGATTCAAATAATGCCAGAGAATTTTTCTTATCCGTATCATTAGTATGTAAAAATCGACGACGACTTAATAAACCGGGGGATTTGTATTACGATTTAAGTGACGGTGACATAAAATACTCTCTCGAGTAGGTCGCGAGAGTGATCCGAAGGACACTACGGAAGGAACTGCAGAAACTGGACGCGAGAGAAAAAAAATGCGAAGGATGGTTGTGATTGTTCGATAACTTCCGCTGTGACAAATTCAGTTTTGAATAATGTACTTTCTTTCATGTCTGCAAGTACGAGCTGTTTTGTTATTAATCCGCATTCTCGTCGCGCATTTAGCGTTAAATGCAGTTTTCCGATCCCTATTTTGCATCGGGATCATGTAAATACGAGCTCCATATTGAATATGCGTATTAGGATACTAAAACGGCTCTATATTTCGAGAATTAGACGATTAATTTCTCAAGCTGACTGTCGGAGTTTTATTTAAATTAAGAACCGGGCATCTCGTGTTTTTTAATATAGGATTTTCAAGTTTTGAATTTCAAGCAAAACAGATATATTTTCTGCTGGATGTGTGCCGAGAAAACGGATCGTTATCTCTTACATCGTAACGTAAAACGCGGGCATACGCAGACGTATACTTACATTTTGTAGCATGTATATTCGCGTACGTTTTATTGTCTGACACATCAATCTTTTCCCTTCTCCGCAATGATACCATTACAGGAATCGTTATCGCGACAGCACTGTAACTTCTTTCCGACATTTAAAAAGCGTCTCGAAGAGCAAAAGCTAAAAAAGCGTGAACCTTTATTTCTTTTTTCTATCAAAAAAGACGTAACTTCGAGAAAGAGGATGTAACTTTAATGTCTCCCGTTCTGTTACTTTCAGACTGCGGCGTATTTCCGCCGACGCTGAATATCGGCAGCTATATTAAAATTGAATAGCTATACAATGTGTAAATTAACATTGCAACACTAATCACTACGATCAACGAGTAGATTGGTGATCACGATAAATATTTTTTTCATCCGCAATAAACGATACAGAGAGCATAACTTCACTTTCGAGTACATTCAAAATATTAACACTCGTTACGTTCTCTGCTAATTCACGAGCCGCTCTCGAGAGTGTGGTAGAAAATCGCGGAAGCGACGGAGTCGATTAGTTACGCTAGGAAGAAGAAAAAAGCAACGTGGGATGGCGATAAAAGAAAGGAAGTTGCTCTTGCTCACGGACAGACTCGTAGGCGGACGTCGTCTCGACGAGACATCAGGGAGACGAACTCAAGTCGTATCGTACAGTTTTCGGCCATCGACACTGGGGATACGCGACAACCAATCAAGTTACCTTTTAAATACTATTAATGATTATTAAAGTAATGAATCGTTGTTGATCATGTTGTAACGTGGGCGGGATTACGCATAGGAGTATAGTAAGAATTACGATGTTTTTTTTATCTTTAGCGCGCGGAAAAACGACAAAGAGAAAAAGAAATAAACAGATTAACGTCGAAACTCGTATTAAACTCGTAAGAGAGATAGAAATTTTTAGACGAGAAATGCGATTAATCACTATAACTGTCAAATAATTAAGGAGAAATCAAGGAGATAATTCGCTGAAAAAAAGGAATAAACGTGTAGTTCGAGACATCGACGTTTTAATGCCGAACACGATTGCCCTTTATGCGATAAAAATTAATAAGCGGCTCGATTAGCCTCTAATCGACTTGGCGAGATAATGACGTTACGCCTGGTCCTACGAACCAAATACACGCTGAACTGATCTAGTACTTTAGAACTAGAACAACTAATGCCACACACCGCGCTTTGGAAGTAGGAAGAAAGAGAACTGAGGATGGTGTACTTGGAAAAGAATATATTTGACAATTTGAAGTACTTTGTAACTCTTTAATCTTATCTTGAAAGAATCATTTTTACTAGATTATATTTTTACATATATTTGTAATATTTCAAAAAAGCTTTACGTTCTCGTTTCTTTTTCCGATATACAAAAGATAGAATAAGCTCCTCAAACATTATAGTTCGAATATAAGAACGTTTATCTTCCTACTTCCAGGCTACAAAGTGCCGTTGATTATATCGTTTCCGAAGAAGTTAATGATGTAAAATAGCGGTTTCTCAATGCCTTTGCAATTTTTGTCATTTGTAAGACGTCTCTGATTCCATTGATTTCCTTTTTAATGTACGTTTGCTGTAGTTCAAGCTGGTGGAAAGAAATGATTAGCAACGTCGTTGTTATCACGGTAAGAATATACCGTATGTTTTTTACATATAGAATAAGAAGAAAAATGTGATTGGATTTTATGACCTGTTCTGTCATTGTAAAGGATTTTTTTTCAAACTGATAGATGTTTTCAAAATTGTAACGCACAGAGGCTATTCCTTATCGATACAATTTTTTCAAATTTATTACCAGTAAGACAATTACCGAAGAATTGTCACATTAATTCGAATTATTTTGAAACATTAGAGGAGAATAATTTCACCGCTAGGGCTTTTTTAAATGAAGCCTTTGCTTATTTGAATCTAACCGTGATTGCTATGCGCAAAATGTAGTATGCGTATCAGATCAATTGCGAGTAATTATATCGTAAAATTGTAAAATTAATCTAGAAGCAGCGGTATATATGGATTAATGAGTCCTAGAACATTACGGGTATCAAAAAATCGTATTAGCGAAACGACGCGTGATCTTAATGTAATCGAAGTTTAACGATTAGATAGAAAAAAAAATAATACGTACCATGGTGCACGATACTATACGACTATATTTGTTATAATTATACTTATAAATGTGTGTTATCACATATCGCATATTGAAATTTACGTTAAAGACAGAAAATTGCTCACTGTAATTTGTCGATAACAACTGCTAATTTATTTTCTAATAAATTAATAAGTACACACACATATACTACCGCAAGCGATAACAAGAACAACCTTTACGTAAAAATAATTCGAGTTTCTTTACGACGAAAACTAATGATAACGAAATAACGCGAGATTTTTGGTATCGTAGGATAGTTTGCATCCTAAAGAGGTTTAGAATTATTTAATTTACATATGTATAAAGAAATTACAATACGTAAATAAACAAACAGTTATTAAAACTGAAGCTCATAATTAAATAAAGTAAATCTAGCATGTCGGAATTCTGAACGCGCCAAAATCTCTCTCGCCATGATGCAAACTCGCCTAATTTTATGATACACAGGGTGTCAGGGGATTTTAAAGTTTACAGTGCTATATCTTGCGAACCAATAATTTTATTGAAAAATGTTTCAAACAAAAGTCGTTTGGTTTGAAGGGGACACACGACTCCTGTCGGAATCCATGTGTCTCCCTTCAAACAACTTTTGTCTGAAACATTTTTCAATAAAATCATTGGTTCGCGAGATATAACACTGTAAAGTAAGACACTTTAAAATAGGACACTCTGTATATGGAACTCAAGTGCTTACGGTTATGCAAATATTATATCTTTTAATACAGACTTCATTCCGCGATTTTCGCGACAAGAAATCGTAAGGAGAATTATTTCCATAAAAGATTTTTGCTGAACGACTTTCAAACATCTAAATTCGCATAAAAGTGAATTTTAAATTCAGACGAAACGTGACACGCACTTTACATGAAAAGTTTCCACCTCCTTGAACTCAATATGAACCGTATTTTGAAGATAACGCAGCAAACGTACTCGAACGTGGTATGATCCGCCGCTTTCATAATTGAAAATAATTGTAGTGAATCGTTATAAGCCTCGATAGATTTATTGAGTAACAAACATATGTAAAATTAAAAGTTTTTGTTGTTTATTCTTATTGTTAGTCAATTTTAATGGTAAAATACATATATATAGAAATCTTCAGTTAACTTTACATTACAGTTTACAAGTTTACACAGTTGCTGTATAACAAAACAAAATTTTCTATTTCAATTATCTTATATGTTTTTATCATTGCTATTATCATATATATAATTTAAATCGGCAGAGATTGAAACATATAATTAAATATTACAACGACACATTTTTGTCTGCAAACTTAATATATATTTATTTAAATTCTTAATATATTTCATCTTTTTTTCTTTACAATTTTAGTTTAAAAAAATAACAAAATTCCTCATTTTTTCACAGAAAACATTTTTTTCTTGAATAATATACATTCGCATAAATACATGTGATTCAAGTTTTTTATAAATAAATTTAAAAGAACTAGTAAGTTTTTTTGACTTGTAATTGTTTTCTATAGTAATTTGTAAAAATTAGACGAAAGCGGCGGCAGACAATGAAATTTCCGTACAAATTGAACATTTAAGCGAATGACCGAATAAAGAAAAAAAGAGAGAAAGTGAGAAAAGAGGGAGTAAGATAAGCGGCATTAACGTGACTTGCGCCTTTAAAACCGACAACTCAGCTTAATACGCGCGGGGCTGTTATATAAACTGTAATCTTGTAATAAAAAAAGGGAATAATAATAATGATAACATTAATGATAACGATTAGCGATAACGATAAATGATAATATTATTATTACTATTAATAATAACAATAATAATATTAAACCATATTAGCTACGAGACTCTTCGCCAGTGTACGAAATGTTGAAATGTCCTTTCTACGACGTTGATATACGATTAAGTATCGACTTCCGATCGCAAATCGAATTGTTCCCGAATTAAGGAGTAGTTGTGGTGGACAGAGAGGAAGAAAGAAGAAAAAAATAAATATACGAGTTAACTATAAACGAAGGTTGATAGGCTTATAGGATATCGTAGTAGCGCAGATGTACAGGGTGAAGAAAAGAAATTTCGGCAGAACGATAAGGGGTTTTTCGAACGTCTTGTCCATCGATCGTCGAGCAAGGAGCAACGGTAATAAGATCAAAAGCAGATCGTACAATATCGATATTGTTAGGACGCTATTTCCAATTTGAGATCAATAATCCAATTTTCGAAATTTGACGATGAGCCTCGTTTCATCGAGCCGACGCAACACTTCCGTCGTGACGTGGAAATTAACCCGTTATACCCAGACGTAAATTTTTTTTCAGTTTTTTAAGAAATTCTTAAGTCAAGTACTCTCGTATATTTCTGACATACGGGCTATAACGAGTTAAGCCGTGTGCAAGTTTCATAGCACTCTTAGCCGTTTTCACTCTCTATTAATTACTCGAGCGTTTTAAGAACGTTATCTAAGGACCGATAGAGATAATTACGATTGCTCATCGATTATGCCTGTTGTTTAAGTGTCAAGACAATCCCCCGATGACTCCAAGCGGCTGAACGACGAAAACTATACTTCTTGATATATGTAATACTACCTCTAATTAACGCGAGAGTATCGATGGCACTCTGGCCCGTCGAGTGTAATTTATCGTAAGGTCTATTATACTATAGCATGCCAAAGTCTTCCGCCATTAGTCGCCTAGTGTAGCTGACGAGTTTTCTCGGTTGCAAAGTTTTCGCGAGAGATCGTCGCTGTAAAGATCGTCGAGTACTCGCATGAACTGATCCCCAGTTTGCACCAATATCGCTCAAGGGGATATAATCAAGACTTTGACGAAAGTCGTTGCAACTGCTCGCGGCTGTTCAGCGTTAGTAGCTCGCTGTGATGTAAGTAGTTGAAGCTCTAGCGACAAACTCTACACTCGTAGATCTTAGCGCTGAAACTAACCGCACGACGGAAAGCGAAAGGCGAAATGGGACGAGATCTCATCGGGATTGATTCAAAAAAATTCTCCCTCCGAGGAGTCGATCGCATAGTTTTATATTCCACAAGTAAATGCACACGTACTTGCGTTCGTGCATGTTGCATGAATTGCCGTAATCGTGCAATGGCTCGAGTAATCGAGAGGATTCAACAAAAGATGAATTTAATCGAATGAAACTTTCGTGACACTCAACGTAAAATTACTGACTCATTGACGATTACGCGATCAACATATTTTGCGATTTATTCGATCCGATGGCGATAATCGGATCGACTATGACGGTGCGTTTCTCGAACGCGCGAAGCCTCAATTTGTGCTGACTTTTAGAGACAGTGTGAATTTTTCATAATAAATTATTCACACGCACGCTTTCGACGAAGAGTGACTTGGAGAAGTGGACACTATAGAGAGAAAATGATTATTATCGCTAATCTTTGTTACATTCAGCAGGGACCGAAGCGCCGAAGCTGTGAAGAAAATAGAGGCAATTACGCTTTTTCACTTTTTAAACAGCATGTGTCTGACTTCGAAGGCGGGCCGCTTTTGGATCGGTGGAGACGTTCGGAAGATCAACGATCCCTCTTGCCCGTTCTTATTAGACCGCTCTTTATACATACATGTGTATATAGGCATATATACATGTAATATATGTTATACATACGCGACAGAGGTTTAATTATATTGATGACACGTAGCATGTAAATCGTTGCTCGCGCTCAGCCCCGTTGTTAAATTAAGCGAAACGAGATATCGTCCGCGTAGGATATTGCTGCTCGTTACATATGAATCTGCGTCGTTCTGCTTATCGATCACCGCATCAAATTCCTACAGTAAATTTCCACGGCATAAAGAGAAGTAATTTGATAAGGAGCGAAACGAAAATCGCCGTAAAATAATACTATGTTACCGTAAAAATGTTATTGTAAAAAGAAAATCATATATCAATCCCACGAAAAAGGTAGAAATACTGAAGGAGATATTGCAAACAAGTTTTATATGGATCGGATAAAAACACAATAGTAGACTAATAGTCGACACAAAGGGCATTCTTCCGACATTCTTCCGATTGGAAATAGCCCATTCAGTTCTCGAGTTAAATCGCTCTTGATGCTTGATGGAACAATCGTATGGAGATATAGAATGTTTTTCGCTATAAAACTACGCCATCGTGGTTACGTTCGATGGCTCGTGGAGCCATCGCGGCAGAATAGCAAGAGCAGAACGACGCTTTTCGCATGCAGCGACGCGGATTTCGAGTGTCACGTTTATTGTCATCGAATCGTTTTGCCGGCGTGGCTCGGAGCAAGGTTTGCGTGTAAATTCCATTGTGCCATTGTTTGTAAAGCATTACAATGATCAGTCACCCGGGTTGACTAACGCGGTCGATTAACGCGGGCAGACGAAAGCGAGGAAACCAGGTAGAAAGAGTGGTAATTAAGATATGCTCGTGCGCGTATCTCTTTTTACAACGGTGGCGAATTAATTAATTAGACTAACTGATTAGGTGAAGCGTAAGTTCAAGTGCCAAATTTTTAGCTAATCCTTAAAGCGTAAACGAGCGCGCTGCGGAGCGAACGTGTACGCGATAGGGCTGAATAGGAATGTAAATTAATGTGAGAGAGATCAACGGTGGCGCGGAAGTAACACGTAGAATCGATTATTAATTCGTTACGGGAATCGAAAAGAATCTGCGAAATAATTCTGCGAATTGTTATCGATTTATTTTGTCGTTACATTAATTTATTAAACCGTGTCGTGAAAAAAATAACACAAAGACATTCTTTGTCAATAAGTTCCTCGAAATAAAGAAACAAAGCCTGCGTTTGTTTATTCACATTGGGAACATAAAATCTATAATACACGTCATGTGTATTATATATTTTATTTTCCCAATAGCTCCCAATGGGAATAAACAAACGCAGGCAAATATGATATCAAAAAACAAATAATTTTATAATGTCCGACAAGTATATATAATATCAGTTTGATTAAGAGCAACCTAAAATATAACGTTTACAAGTATAAACACAAAAGTATGATTTTTTCTTTAATACAATTTTACATTTCTTTCAAATTGTTGTATGTTCGCAAATGTAGAATATATGCCATGTAATACGCAGATTTACTGCGCGATATCGCAAATGAAAGAGAAAATAAAATCCTGAGTTCAAGTCGAGCGAATATTACACATTTTGCGTTAGAATTGGTGAACGATATGGACAGGAAAAATATATACATATAAAAAAGAACAGAGATAAGAAAAAAACGCGTCACAGCCAACTGAATTTAAAAATGAATTTTTACAAAAGAAGAAGTGCACACAGTTATTTCCGGCAGGCAATACTCGTTTTCCTCCGTTTTTGAATCCTCGCTCAGCTAACTCATCACGCGCGATTACACAGGAAGCTGCGTTGTCCTGTCAAAAGGGGGAAAAACGATTTAAGAAAAAAGAAGACAGAGAAAACGGAGAATTTCGCGCTGAATGAAATAGCGAGGAAGAAATATAATTTTTGAATTACCGCAAAAAAATAAATAATAAATAAATAAATAAATAAAAGCGAAACTATTAAGCACATGTACCACTAAACATAAACTATATATATTTAAACTATTGAATGCTAAAGTCGTATTCGTAATAATGAATAAAAGAAAATGGTTAATAATCGATTAACTGAATATTAAAGCTAGCCTGTAATCAATAGCGACGTAGTTATACTCTGACAGTAATTATAGGGGTGATTCAAAGGTAGTCTATTAGCAGTTAGGGTCGAACTTTATCGAGATCACTTTCTCTCTAAACTAACAATGGAAAAAAAGATGAAGTTAAAACTTAATTATCTCTCGATGCTAACCTTATTGAATTTAAAGGACGTTAAAAGCCGCGCTGATGCGATTTCAGAAAACCGAACTATGTAGAACGCGATCTAACTCTCTTCATTACTTACCTATATCTTTATTCCTTACGTACTTAAAAAAAAAAAAATTAAAGAAATCGCCTCGTATTGTCCACCGTCATATTGTACACCAGTCATTAAGATCGACAATTAAAATGCGCGTTATCGATCGCCATTGAGAAATGCGAGAAGAGATATGGGCGAGAATAAAAAAAAAAAAGAAGAACGTTACTGTTTCCATAGACCCTGGTGAGACGATGCAATTGAACTGAACTCACCCGATCTCACTTTTAATTATGCCTCCGATAAACAGCCTGGTCCGATAATAGTAAATCCATACCGGAGGAGATATAAGAGAGCGTGAATAAAAATTTGTTATATTTCTACGCTGGGCTCCTTTTCGAGGCAACGTTGATCGATATGAGAATCCCTGTTAACTGGTGAGCACTGTAATCGCCGCATTGTAATATTATTAACATTATTACGTTATTATGAAATTGTTGAAATAAATGAAATGAAAATAAACGTCTTCCATTTCCCCCCCTCTTTTCTTTCGACCGTACACGAGCACTTAATTTACTCTGTGATGAGTTTTTCATCGACGATTTGAAAGAGGAATGTCTCGTTCTTCAATGCTTTATTTATAAACTTGCAATTCGGAACGTTACGCTGCAAAGCGCAATCGTGATATCAATCAAAACATATAATAAACGTATAAAGGTATAAAATTTCATGAGTTTTATTGATGTATTATTTCATTATAAAAAGGGCTACTTAACTTTTATGTTAAATTTCTCTTTTACCTACCAACATACAGTAATGCACGATTATATATAATTACTATATTATTTATCATGCATAATAAAGTACAAACTTTTCGATTCAACAATTTTCGGTTTCTTGTTTTATGCGCAAAGTAAACTATGGTACATATACGCTGATCATCTTCCTTTCCGCAGTAGAGATAAAAGACACGTATGTACGGGCAGAACTGTATAATTCTGTTTATTGTTATTGTTCCTGTTAAATTGCCCCCAATAAATTACACGAAACCTATTGACATGAGAGGGATAGAACAAAACGGAATATGCCAGTGTTCTTGGTTTCTAAATTTTAATTATTGTATTTCTTTCCAGGAAGACACGACATGCGCTATTAATAAATAACGGCATTATATAACGATAAAATATTGTCGATAAATCTGGATATACAAAACCTTCTCTTTAGCAAACTACATTGCAACGTGTTTTAAATATTAAAAGTAAAATAAAATTTATAAGTAAATGTTATTAATCGATTTACAAAAGAGAGAAAAAGACATATATGTTATTGTACATTTTTTTTTAAATAAAATAAAACTGTATTCCATACATACAAATTTGCTAAGATTGACGCAAGTAATTATAAATGAAGATGTCTTTTCTTTCTGGGATTCTGCGTCTTCTCATGCTGTCGTTATCAAGCGTCTTCAAGTAAGTCTAAAATTATTTTACTATTTGCTTCAATAAACGCAACGGCTTATATAACAACAGATTTAGATGCATTTGAAAAAACTATCGTAACAACTATAACATTAACATTAACTTCGTCAAACGAGATAACTACTAATGCACGCAATGATGCCGCTTATTATATTAAAAAATTCTGCAGATTAATTAACAATTGACGTAACCGAATAAATCGTTACAATCTTTGGCAAACTGTAAAACTAGAGAAATTTATAAATATAAATTTTTAAGTATTGATACACTGAGATACATTGCAAGAAATTGCACAAAATTATAAAGAAATACAAGAGATTACGTTTTCGGTTATTTCACTTCTCGCAAAATCCTCGATATTCAACAGTCGACTACAACTTTCTCCCGGACTGAACGTTCTTTATTAAATAAAACTTGACCGTTTAACAGTCTCTCTGTACAATATATACGGTAAGCATGGCTATGATGTTCTATTAACGCACGACGTTCTTATGACGAAGAATCGTGCTTCTTAATATGCGCATAATTATTGGCGCAAAAAATGGCTCATATTCTCATCTCGCATATATAACTACGCATAGTTATTTGTTTTTAGTTTATTTAATTACTTTTTACTCATTAAAACACAATTTCTATAAATTATATCTGTGTACTCCAGTATCTTGCACAAGTGACAGTAAACTGATAATAAAAGCCGTTTAACTGCATGTTCGTAAAGTAAGACGGAGATATTTGTTAATCTAATTAGGAAAAAATCAATAGCAAGAAGTACAATTAAAAAGAGACGCGTAAATTATGTCTACTTGTTTTAATTAATGTATTAAGTGATATTCAGTATTGTTTACATATATATAGATATTTTGTGTATGAGCTATGAGAACATGAGCTACTTTTTAGGAAAGCCAATCAAGTCAAAGCACACTCGCAAAGTACAATTTTTGTTTGCAGCCAGTAAAGATATAATCGATTTTCTTTCCTGGCTAGATCTGTATGTATTTCAGAATCGGTATGTGTATTTCAGAAATTATTGTTAAGGTACCTTGATTTGCATTGGCCTTCCGAGTCTTCCGAAAGTCGTTGATTAGATACAAGCGCGTATCCTTTCGTAATTAATTTAATTCACAACGTCTCGTGCTTGCGTGAAATTCGTTACTGCAAGCTCGTTCGTATGTGTGACGAACATGCTTTAAGATCGTCGTAGTTCTATTAATATTTATGATCAATGCCACGATAACGAGTATCAAACGCGAGATCGACTAAATTACGATGTGACGACTTGCACGATTATTATCAAAATTATTTCAAATTTATATCTAAAACATTATCGCGCGATGATTGATTCTGCCTGACCATCCCGCGTATAGATGCACATCGTGAAGAACGTTTCGATCTTATCTTATACGGAAATTTATAACTTTGATATCGAGAATTTGATCGATTTGGTTGAAAGTGATCGCTAAAATTATGGTCGAGAGATTAAATACAGAACTGTTTTCTTTTCTCTCACACGTTTAACACTAACGTACAGACGTCAAACGCTCATATATAGCATATAGTAACTTAAACGTAAAACAGAAAAACTATGTTAAATGCACTAATAAATTATAATGAAATTATAGTCCTAGAAAAATACGCGACAAATTTTATATAATGTTTAATGTTAAACGTGAATTCCTGTAAGTCTGAGTTACTTTACGATAAATAATGTTTTCGTTTTATATACTTTCCTAACTTACCAGACTATTGGATTATTTGTATTTTCTAATTAAGAGATATCGATAAGTTGACTAAACAGGTTTGTGCGTACCATCATTATATTAGTATGTTACAGTAATTTTGCCAAAGTACTATTAACTAATTCCGTATTTTTTTTTCTAGATACGATATATGTATAATGCTACATAAGCGGATTTCATCGTTTAACATTAAGTGCGTTACGTGGTAACTACACTCTTAAAGGAGCAATCACGGTATATTTCCAACAATACTCAGAATCACTGTACAAAATGTTCGGAGTCGAAATAAATAAGAAATAAATTAAATCAAATTTTGTCTACCAAGAATTTAGCCACACAGTTTGTATATAATGATTAAAATTCTCTTCTATATGATATTATCTAAACAAACTCTCTAAACTTTAAGCAAGTTCTCTTAATTAAATATTGAAGAGAATAACCTTTGCCTAACAAAATATTATTTCATAAAAATTATAAAGTTGGCAAGTAACCTGTTATAATGTGGCTTCTCGTGTTTAAAAACTTTGGAAATACCTATTTCTTCGATAAAATGAAGAATGAGAACTATTCGACAGTCGTTTCGTAAATCCTTCGTCTAAGCGCGTCGCAATGGAGCTACCGGAAGTTAATGGCATCGGGGAAGACAATAATCGCAGAGGCAGCCATGATTAACACTAGTGGAATTATTATCTACATAATGTATGCCATTTCGATCGCTCGAGTTTCGTCGTTGAAAAAGCTTTACACAAATCGGATTTTACAATCTTACAATTACGCAAAATCGAAATGTATGCACAATGGTATTAGAAGATTGTATTGAGAATTTCGTTAAATGAATTTGTACCTCGCGTGAGATTTCATAAAAATCTGTAGATATAAAAAATAATTACCTGTTAAACAGTCACTTGATTTGTAAGCGTTTCACGCTTGTAATTAAAAATGACAAAATTAATCCCACATTGTTACGAAGTCGTTTTCGAAGAGGACGAAATGAGAACGGTCGAACGATGGCATATGTTATTTGTGATTGCGCTTCGTTGGGGCAAGTCGGATTATTTTCCGCGATAGATATCTATAATACGATCCTGGTCCACATACTCGAAAATATGAGGCGCGTCCATTAGGATCCCGACGGTACCCGCGGTCGTCACTATAAAGAATATATAAAGTTGCAGTCGATCGATCACCATTGCGACATATTTCCAATCCTCCCTTGTCTGGAAGAGAGAGATATCGAGAAAAGAGTATTTAGAAAAGCCGTTGTACATTATCCAGGAGTGTTATATTTGTTTTTTGAAAAGATCGCGAGGCTCTCTCACCTGTATGTACAAGTCCTCGTTCCTGAGATGCTCCGCTATGAACTCCACGGCCTCGGTAGCCTTGCTGGCTTCCGGGCTGAGCAAGACCGAATCCGAACTCTCGGATCCTCTTCTATCGCCCATGCCTTCCCCTCCGCCAGCACCGCTGGAGCTGCTCGTGGTGTGATGAACCTTACGGTTGATCTTGCAATTTGGATGATGCAGATCGGACAGTTCCATCACCTCCATCTTCGATTTCGCCAGGGAGGCTGGCAGATGCTTCGGCACCTCGGTCGGACTTCCCGAGTATGTGGAAGCTGGCAGTGTTACGTTTGGTATCTCCATCATCCATCTAAATGAAATAATACGCATTTATTCGAGTAACACTTGGTGAAAATAAAACTAAAAATTCTAATAATGCTTCAATTGTACGTTTAATTAATAAAAATCAGTACTATATGTATATATATTAATAATCTTTATGTTTAATTGAATTTATCTCGATTTATTGATAAATGTATTTCTCTTTTTGTACTTCCAATTAATATAATTTTTAATTATTGTGTGAATTACAATAATTAATAACAGCTCTTACAAAAAAGTTCATACCTTAATCGCGTCTTCTTTGGTCGTTTCATGAACAAGATCGCTGGCAGATATTTAAGGAAGATCTTGCGTATGAGCTGAGGCATTCTGTGAGTCCTCGGCCCGCGGAAGTTCCAGTTGATGATGATCACAGTCACGAGGATACTGACAGTATTCATGATAAAGGTGAAGAGCAGATATTTGGCTATCAATGGCAGCACCAACGAGGTTGGTGGCAAAATTTTGCTGACTAGCAGGAGGAACACGACCAGTGATAGAAGAATACTAATGCCCAAAGTGACTTTCTCACCGGCCTCCGCTGGAAGGTAGAAAACGAGTACGCAGAGGAAAGAGATCAGGACCGTCGGCAGTATCAAGTTCACCGTGTAGAAAAGAGTCTTCCTGCAGATGCAATACAAATGTTTCTTTTCTTTTTTTTAACTTAGTAATGTACAATTATTATGTAATTAAAGTCTTATATTATAATATTAAAGTGCTAATTAAGAAAGCTGTGATCAATATCGAAGGTGGAATTAGCAAAGATTGGCGGTAAAGTACGCACCTGCGGATAATTATATAGAAAGTGATGTCCGTCTCTGTAGGAAAATCGCCCTGGTAGATATTGAGATACGCCGGCACGCTGATAATGTCCCATGTGCCGCTCTTCCAATAATCAGACAGATCGACGAAGTTCTTATCGTTGTAGAGCGCGAGAGAGACCTGGTCGCCGTTGAAGGTCCATGAGCCGAATTTCATAATGCATGTTTGCTGATCGAAGGGGAAATATGTTACGTCGATCGTGCACGAGCTCTGATAAATTGCTGGCGGCACCCAGAGCACCTCGCCGTTCGGGTATATCAGCACGTTGCTCTTGTAACGAACTTCATAGTTGCCGTCAGCGCTATAAACAAAGTATACATATATAATTATTGAAATATAATATATGTCTAATCATTGAAAATGTAAATGTAAATTTATTTGGCTAATTAAAAGAAAAGAAAAGTTTTAACCGTTTAATCGCCAAGATGTCTTTGACCAAAAAATTAAGAAGTAAATAATTGTTTTGTACTCACTCGCAAATAATTAAAATAAATGTTAAATAATTGCAATTTTGAAATAATACATTTTAAATATTAGTATTAATATATATAATATATATCTCAATTTTTATAAAAGTACATTATATTATTGATGCGTAAGCGATTAAATGATTTGTATACAATTAATAAATTTTTCAAGTTTAATAAAATATGCAAATAACTTGTCTAATATTCATACTTATTGAATAAGACTATGTCTGGTTTCCACACTTTGTCGGGTGGTAATCTGAGGACCCCGATACCGCCGTAATCCGCTTCGTCCCATTGTAACTGATAGTCCTTCCATACAAATCTCAACCATACGTTCGATTTCATAATCTGATTCTTTTCGTTCTAAAAAATTCAAAGAATTTTATGCGATTAAAAAAAATATTGTTCACCTTCAGTTATATAATTTATTTTAAACATGCATTTTCCGCCATTGTCTGACTAATTCGCGCGAAAATGGAGAAAACGGAGCAAGAAAAATCTCACCACATTGATCAGTTGCACGAAGGCGAGGCCAAACCTCACGTGCACTTTCTCCGTCATATTTTGCACTGGTCGGATGAGCTTATTGTATCCTCTAAACAGATCTCGCACCAGTCTCTCTTCATCCTCGGAGCATAGACCTGCAAATAAGGCGATTAACGCGATTAACGGGTATATCCGGCCGGCTGCAGCCTGAAATCGCGTGAGATAAATCGCGCAAATTAGAAAACTCGCACGCCGCCTCGTCTCGTCCGTCACACACTCCACTTTTCTCGCGGATGTAAAAAAAAAACAACAATTATACTCCTACATCCGAACGCAGCACTCGTTCTACGGGCGCGCGAGTTTTTCAAGCTTCATCTCGTCGCTCCGGAAACGGGCCTTACCGACGCACAGAATCGCCGAGATCAGGAATAGTCGCACGAGACGCAGGCAAAAATACATTTTGGGCGGGTTCGTTGTGGGGTTGGTTGTGGTCCCACCCGAACGCTCGAACGCGCCGCGAGCACAGCCGCCGCCACCACCGCCGTACTTCCACCGCCACCACCGCGGATCAATATAGAAGCGCAGACGCTGGCGAATAACTGCATTTCCTTCCTTGCAACCCGACACGCCGAACCCACCCTTGCCGAGCAGTTGCGATTCCCGTCATCGTGCACTTTTACAATCTCCGAAGATCCATCGTCGAAGACATCGCTGCAATTTGCTATACGATCACTCACAGCGAAAAGGGATGTTGTTAGGGAAAACGCGGGAGAAACACCACCGGGTGTAGCGAGATTTTCAACGCGTCAGAGCAAACTGAGCTACCCTCAAGGGGTGGCTCAGTTGGCAGCTAGGGGTGGTCGGCCGTCCTTACAACAGATGCGCTGCTTTACCGAGGGATTCTGGACAAGTTGTGGAGAATACGTGTTGCATATAGAGGGGTTGATAAATTCAACGTTGCTTTTATGTGGATCTAGCTAACAAAGTTTTCATGGACAACTCTCTCATTTTCAGAAAAATGATTAAGTTGAAAGTTTTACAAGACAGAAAAAAAGTATTTTTTTTTAATAAATAATTTTAATTTTATTTTGAAAAACAAAAAATAGAATACATATTAATTAAACTTTATAATATATATATTTTATAATTATCATTACATTAATATACGCTAATATTGTATTTCAGTATTGTTTTTATTATTAATAATTGTAAAATTCGTGCTAACGAAAATGCATTATCGATGCATCACTGATTTCATTTGTGCGTAATTAATACATTAATATCTACATCAATTAATACAATCGGTAATTTATATATTTTCTACATTATGATAAAGGTATAACTTTATATATATAATATATGTAGGATAATATAGATAATATATTTAATTTTAGATCTCAAGTTTGGTCAAATGTATATGCTATAGCTGTTTACATGTATAATTATCGAGTCAGCGATATGTATATTGTATGTGTCTTTTTTATTTATTATGTTAAATTACATAATGATCGCAGAAAAAGGCAGTCATCTTCCTATGATAAAAGAAAAAGGAAAGCTGAGCCTGTCGGGCATTATGCAAATTAGTTGCGAATTTTGTCTAATCTGAGACTCATTTTTTACATCATAATTATATAACATTAATAAATATACTTTACGCTACATATAATAATCATTAGATTTTTACGAATACTTGAGATTTTTACGAAAATCTCCTTTGGGATAATTGTTGAAATTTTTTATATTCTGTGTATCACGCATAAACCATTGGTACTTTGGAGCTTGTTTAGGAAGAGCAATGCTGAAGTTGCAATTATGGATTATCTCGTTTCACAACTTTTCAGTAACATACAGGCCGCGTTGCAGCAAAACGGCAATATTACGCGTAAGTTCGAAATTGTTTAGAAAATACGTACCTATTTGAGAAAGTTTCTTTACGCATTATTCCTCATTATTATGCACCAACGTGAATGTGCTACGCGATATCCGTCATATAATAAACGCGTATAATTATATGTATATCGTAAAATATAATATTCTCGGTGTGTCTTCCGTAGAAGAAATTTACAGGTCCCGAGTCACGGCTTTTGCAGGGTTTTCCAAATTGAATTTTAAATTCATCGTCATTTACATTTCTATTAGCTCGTTACCCATGCATTACCTTTTCGTAGGACGCGATAATCGGATGGAACTCGACGCAGAGGCCACAGTAGTGCAATGATTTTATAATGGTGATCAAAGAGATTTTGGGTAAATGTTTTTAAAATAATCAACGATGTTTCGTCGAGTTTACTAACAGATGCTATACAATCTATTATTTTTAAATTATTTTTTAAATAAAAACTTATTATTACCAATATTTGTGTCTATTTTTATTATATTTTATCTGCGTTGCAACGAATAATTTGAGAATTACAATTAACCCTAGCGCAACAGTTTCCCACGTGATAATTGTCCACTGCCCAGCATTGGGTAAACATCTTTACAAGTCATGCCAGTACCCGGCTAACAACAATGCGCCAACTAAGTTTGACCATTGGGATGTAACAACTGCGGTAAACGCTGCTATTGGCACAGCATTGGCAAGAACATACGAAACAGGATTGATACGACATTGTTGCATAGTTGAACTTGTACTTTGAAGTCATTACTACTGCTAGTGTAATTAATATTGGTGGATATTGGCTTGAATAAATAAAGCAAGGTATACTGTTTCTCCCGCGAGACACAAGATTGGATTATAATATTACTCGCACGTAATTTCTTTGTGATACATGCTAAAACATCATTGTTATTAATTATTTCTGACTCCATTCTGCTTTAATATACAGCTTGGATATATTGAAATTAGTAGCGGAATGCCGCAATGAAATGTCCTGATTACTATACAACGATGGAACATTATTGTTTCAATATTGTCTGTCTATCTCATCATCTCATCTCTACTGACAAAGTGACAATGAGCCGATATTGGACAATGCCGGCAGTCTCTCGACGGATTTTTACATCACGGAGGCACCATAAAATTTCATATCGAGTAATTCCAATCGGACTCTGCAGACGGGTTTAACGGCGTCGTACGAATCACGTCAGGAGCAATCAACGGCGGCTCAGTTGACCAGAAACAATAACTCCGGAAACTCCAAATAGACGGATCGGGTAATAACGGCGCTCAGTAAAATAACGGCGAGCGATATCCGCGGTGTATCGCCACCTCACACAGGAAACAAAGCCGCGTCGTCCGCCTGCATGCATCGGGCCGCATGCATGCGCGTTGGTCCACCGCATCAGAGCTACAACGCGCGCGTATACAACCGTGTGTGCGCGTATATGCATCGGTACGCGTTATTGTTTGATCAAGCGACGCCGACGCCCGCGTGCAACTGCATCGGAGTAGACCATGTATGACGGAGCACACAACTTGGCCCGAACTCACTGTACCGCAACGAAACTCCACGCAGCGTCCGCTTTTTCAGGAAAATATTTGCAGTCGCGGGCACGGCACGGTTCGCTTTTCTCTGGCCTCGCCGTGTACGCGTTTCGTCGCGCTGAGAACTCTTCAAAGACTAACTATTCGCGTTCAAAATGCAGAGTAACAAATTTCGAAACTCGATGTAGCTTGACATGAATTATTTGTTTATTTTGTTTGAATGACTATATTGTTAACGGTCCGTCGTGGGATTTGTTTTGTCCAACGCGAATAATGTTTGAAAAAAAATAGCAAAGAAAAATATTATAAAAGCGTAAATAACGAATGTATAAATTTAAATATATAACTTATACATCATAAATCGTTAAAAATTATTAGTTGTATATTTTTCATGACCGATATAACCATGAAAAATAATGCAATATTTATTAGATTATATGTATATGTCTGTCATTTATAATTACACATTTGGAAGATAAAATTTAAAATGTTTAAGCACGAATACCGCATTTGCGGTCTTGCTTTATTTTTTAATTAAATGAGACGAGCAAATTGCATTCATCTTCGCTTGGAGGAGCATAATATAATCCCTTTCGGAAGATCATTACTGTGTATTACCGTGGACCACTTTTCGGTATTAGCAATGCGGTTTTTTCTTTAATTTAATGAACACACATAACCATGCAAGCGTTTTCTGGTTTTTTTTGTTGTGCATTTAAAGCGGCCGCAGTCGTTGGCTAAAAGCCACCCGCTCGTCCTCGGTACGGAGTAAAAATTCTGCTCACTTGCGTGAAGATGCGCGTTTCACGACGCGTGCGATTTCATAAAACCTCTCGCGCCATCGCTCATTGCCATGAAAATTCAGTAACTATGGAAATTCAGTGACGATAAAACGCGTCGGGTTTTATCACCCGTAATGTAGAAAAATGCATAAACTACAGGCGCGTCGGGATAGCCGTAAAAAACACGTTACTTTTATATTAAGGCGCCGCGCGGCTGCAGCAGGGGGCTCGTACGCGAGTTACGATCGCACCGATTATTTCAACAGACATGTAAATCGATAAAGATTAAGTTTTACCGAGAGAAAAATCGAGACACACACACACTATTTCGACAACACTATAATATTTTCTTTCTGCTGCAGTTCCTCGTAAGAGCTTATATTCATATCTTTGTGTATGTGACTTTATAATAAAACACCATATTTTATTATAGGTGATTGCATATATAAATATATAGCGTAATTTATTGAGACTTCTAATTATAAATAATTGTATTAATGCATAATATACATATAATAATGTGTCCTAATATATAAGTAAGAGAAAAAAATTGTACAGAACTTTTTGTTTAGTTAAAATTATTTTAGAATCATTTATTTAAAGTTTAAAAGTAAGATAAATCCAATAATTTTAATTAATGATATACTTGTAATATATTTATTTTTACAAAAAAAAAAGCAATTTTGAAATAAGTCACCTATTTGCGCGAAATTACTGCATTCACGATGGCGCATGCAACAATAAAATCTGTAAAATCTAATGAAAAATCTTATTTGTTTCACGGAGACAAAGAAAGGACTTCAATAGAACTAATTAATGCTTCTTTTGTCAAGTTTGCATTCGTCCGAGGCCATTGTACTACTTTTAAGTACTTTAAATGGGCTCTTCCGTAAAATTGGCTACGTTTGACAATTCATTCGGTTAATTTATTTTTTTATTACAATTCACGAGGAAAGTCGTATTGTTATGACTTGCGATCAGCGCCAAATAAAATCTTTGTTTTATAAAAGAGATTCAAATATAATTGATGAAATTTTGTCGTGAAAGGCAAGTCTTTGCTTAATCATTTTGTTAATTGTAAAATACGTATCTTTTAAAATTCCTTTTTCTATTTATACGAGAAAAAGTATAAAGAAATCTTAAAAGTTTACGCAAAAAACGCAAAGCATTCTGTAATAAAGAAATAAATAAATAAAACAATTACTGCAAAAAAATATATATATATATGTATATAATATTTGTCACATTCTATATTCACAATTTTTCGTGTGACAATGTTTCTTTTTTTTAATCTCAGAACTCTACATTTTCGAGATTATTGTACATTTTTTGGCAGATTTGTAAGAATTAAAATTTTAATAAAGGAAAAATATAACTTTCACGTGCTCTGCTCCTCTTTCCTAACTTTATGAGGATTATAATTCAGGATTTCGTGCATTCACCTGAAGATTGAAGTGTAAGCCTCGTTGAAATTCTACCTTGTGACGTAATAAGCTCCGATAGTGGCGTTAAACTTGGGGATCAAGTGAATAATGAGCGGAGTTACCGTCAATCTTCACGTAAATCGCAGACAAATGACCACTTCAGCATATGTCCGGCCCGCCCCTTTGTCTTCG